CGATGCCTGGAGGCCCCCCTGGAGCGATGCCGGGCGGCGGACCTCGCCCGCCCCGCCTCAGATGCACCGGCAGCCGGGTGGGCCGGCGCCTGATCCCAGGATGTTCCAGCAGCGCGGACCACCACCGCCGCAGCAAGGTTTCCCTCCGCAGAACCAAGGTCGTGGCCCGCCTCCCCCCAACGGCCGCCGCTTCTGAGCTCGACATGCCGGCGCTCAGCCCCGCATCCATTGCTGCTGTCGCCTGCATCCCGTGCGCCACGGCACTGTTATGGCACCTCCCGCCCCCTCTTGGACCCCTCTTGGGCCCCTTCTTGGGCCCCCTCTTGGCCCCCCTCCTGACGACCCGGGCTCCCGCCGACTCTCGCCTCTTCGACCCGACCACCACTGTACGATCTCAAGCATGCCACCACCATCTCTCTTGCATATTGTCGGTCCTCCTCTGCGCCCCTGATCCCGGCGATGGGCCAAGCAACCCTCGGGATCGGCGACGAGACCCCGCAACCTCTAGCGGCGTAATGGACGTCGGCCACCTTGTGCCCTCGACGTGCCCGCACAAGGACCTTGACAGGCCATTGCCCTGTCGTCTTTTCTCCGATGCGTTTCCCCTCTGATCCATTGCGGGACGCACGGTCCCACGACCATATTCGCCCTCGATTGTTGGCGAACCGCCTCTTTCCCTCTGCCTCGTTGGGGCCGCATCCCTGCTCCATCCCTGAACAATGTCTTGCTTCTCCTCCTTCTCTGCCGGTCTCATTGGCTCTCCCCCGTTGGCCCTCTTTCCATCATGTCGATCTGGCCCGTTCCGTGTACCCTATCTTTCCCGTTTCCCTTCATTGCTTGATCGCAACATCCCGATCTCGATCTGTCGATGATTCCGTCAGAAGCAGCAGCGATCATGCTTGCTCTGCGACAGGCAACGCAACGGGCAGCCCGTTGTGGCTGCGGAACGATGATGCCGACGGACGAGGCCCGACGGGGGCCGATGGCGAGCCAGACGATGTGGCACGGCAATGGTTGTCAGTGTTTGTTCGGTCGCGCTCGGGCGCCAATGGCCGAGGAGCGGCGGGGCCTGGCCTAGCCTGGCCTGGCCTGACCTGGCCTGACCTTGCCTGAGGCTGCTGCTCCACACGGACGTACATGCGCCTACAGGGCTGCCTGCAGGGTTCGCGTCCGGACTGCAGAGCAACACACAGCCCCAACCTAGGGCAGGCCACCCCCTGTCGACTTCTCCGCCCACCACCATCACCACCAGTGGCGCCACTGCCAACCGCCCAAGAAGCTCGTCCCACCTCGGCCCTGGAAGCGGGTCAGAACGCACCGGAGCCATGGCCGACTATCGCTACCTTGAGGCGTGGAAGAAGCCCACCGCCTCAGCCTCGACCTCGACCTCGACCTCGACCTTGTCGCGTTCCAATCGCTCCAGCAACTACGACCACAGCTCGTTCCAAGACGTCCTCTCCTCCACCAACAACGCCGCCTGCCCAACCGACGCCTCGACCTCGTCGTACCAGGTCCGACTCGACACGCCCGGCGGCATCACCTACGCTCCGGACGTGCTCAGCCAGCACAACTCGGCCAAACGCCTCTTCATCCCCGCCAAGCTCACACCGGGCGACGAGTTCGACTTTGCCGCAGAAATCACGAGGCGCAGGGAGGCGTCGACGTCGAACGTGGCGGACGCGGAAGCCAAGGAAGAGGCAGGCGATGCCAACAAGGGACCGACTGATGCCCAGGCCTACGCGGCGTCGATCGACATGCTCGCCCAGCAAAGCGAGCCGGGCCAGGATAAAACCAGCAAAGGAGTCAGCTTCGCAGAGGATGCAGAGACGATACCGCAGACCGCGATAGATGCCGACGACACCGCCGAGACCACCGCCGGCAACGCCGCCGACAAAGCTCCCGACACGGCCTCGATCCGTAGCAACGACACCGCCGTCACGGCCCGGTCCATCTCGTCGCGCATGACGGCAATGACGCTGGCGACCGATCGCGACGGCACGCTGCCGCACACGGTCGCGGCCAACGCCACGGTCGCCCGCACGCGGATGCCGGCGAGCGTCGCCGGTGACGGCACCGCCAAGACACCCTGGACCTCGACCGAATGGTCCGGCCATCGCGCGCTGGATCGACCGAGCCAGCGGGAAAAGGAGGCGGGCATCACCAACTTCGAAGACGTGGGTGGATACGGCCGCGTCCCCAGCGCCGCCGAGGCCGACCTCGACGCTGCCTCGTCGACGATGCACGACGGCTCGAGCGTGCACACGGCTCGAACGGCCCAGACGGTCGGAGGCGTCTACAACCTTCGGCCCTCGGACCTCTTTGTGGCGGATCCGCGGCCGTGGCGTCCGCTGCGGTACGTCCGCAAAGTCGACCCGCGCCAGGTGCTGCTCATGTGCGCCGGCACCACCTTGACGGCCGGGCAGGTGGCCGCCCACCGCATCGGGTCGGGGCAGCACGCCTTCGACGGCTGCGACGCCGCTTCCATCAAGTCGTACATGACCAGCGCGACGTCGAGGACGAGCGGTGCGGGGACGCCCGTCTTCCCGTCGACGACACCGACGGCCTTGACGCAGCAGGCAGCGTGGAGGTCGATGCTCAATTCCGGCAAAATGCCCGACTACGAGACGCTCGCATCTCAGTTCGCCAAGTCCAACGCCACCTCTACCTCTGCCGCCGCCGCCTCGGCCTCGGCCACGACTGATCCGTCTGTGGAAGAGGTGCGGGGCGGACTCGGCTTCGTCTTCTGTCCGCCCGTCGATCCATCCTCTTTGCCGTCGTCGTCGTCGTCGCCGTCGCCGAGCAGCAGCCGGGTGGAGGCCAACTTTTCGCGGCGCCTCGAGCGGCCGCCCGAGCTGAGCGCGACGACCAAGAAGCGGGCGGGCCTGCGCAGCGTGCTGGCGGCGCTCGAGTACCAGCAGTGGGAGGACGAGGGGTTCGACAAGATTGTCGTCGCCACGCACCACCGCTGGCTCGTCGACGGCATCTCGCGCGACATCTGGGAGTGGCGCCACAACCACTGGCGCCTCACGCGCGACGGCCCGCTCGGCACGCCCGGCGAGTCGGTGCCGGACCGCGACCTGTGGGAGCTCCTCGATGGGGCGGTGCAGAAGTACGAGCAGATCGACTGCACCGTCCGCTTCTGGTACGTCCCCAGGACCGAGAATATGCCCGCCTTCCACCTCGCCGAGCAGGGCGCCGTCAAGGACAACCAGCAGCCCGGGTTGGTGAGATGGACCAAGCCCAAAAAGCAAAAGGCGCAGGCAGGGGCGCAGGTGTGACGGCGACCCACGCATGGTCGATCCGCCTGTAGAGCAGAGAGTTGGTGGCGGGGACAACGCCGTGTGAGATTACAGCTTCATGATAGACGCAGGCCGGCACGGCGATAGCACTCTGCGATGCGCGTCTCGATGGCCCGGACCATCTTCCACCTCTGTCCGTCTTCGGATAGCTGCGGGGCAAGGGCGGCCACACCGGCCACGAAGAGCGACGCCACCGCCGCCGTGATCGTCCATGTGCCGGTGCCCGGTTTGGTCCTGGGCCTGGTGCGCCTGGTCCCAGCCTTTTGGCTTCGAGACCTCGCGATGAGCCTGGTCGTGCCCGTCGTGACGTGGAGCGCGGCCGCGACGACGAGGGAGAGGTAGAGGGCTGCCGTGACGAGCGGGGCGGATCTGAGGCCGTACGAGACGTAGCTGTAGTCGAGCTCTGATGGCGAGAGCGCCGAGATGGGCGGTGTCGAGCGCGAAGGAATGAGGCGGTTCAGCAGAATGTGGTGTCCCACGATGGGGACGAGGACGATGCCCGAGGCCGTGTGCAGCGAGGGGAGGTACGAGGACGAGGACGAGGACGAGGACCGGGTCGGTTTGGCGCCGAGATCGGTCGCGGTCTCGGTCGTCGTCGAGTCTTCTGCCGATGGTGGTGCCGTTGCGTCGTCGTCGCTGCTGCTGTCGGTGGTGGTGGAGGTGTAATCGGCCGTGGTGCACGCCAGCAACAACCTCTTGAGGCCCGACGAGACGAGATGGAGACCGATCGAGGCGTAGAGGAGCGGTTCGGTCAAGCTGGACTGGTAATACACCCTTCCCAGCAGCTGTCGCGCCGTATCGTAACGCCAACGTGTCACCACGTCAGCCCATCTGTTCCTCTCACCCATCACCCGGCGGAACAGACCGAGGGACGACTCACCATGATACGGCTAGCGTTGTCAATCGCATCCTCGACGTCGCACGAGCCCGCGATTCCGACGGTAGAGAGGATCCTGGAGATACCGACGACGAGGGGCGGTGCGAGGTGGACGCACAGAAACGACCCGACCGCCACGGCGGAGAGGTGCGAGGTCGTCGTGAGCGACCGGAGCACGCCGTTGCGCACGCCCGGCCGCAGCTTCATCCTCCCCTTCCCTCCCCGCGTCGTTGGAGGTGATGGTGGTGACGACGTTGCGGGCATCGTGCTGGTCCAGTCTGTCCGTGCCGAACGGAGGATGATGGTGGGTGCGTGGTGGCAGGAAGGTGAGGGCGGGTCGTGCAAAGGTGGAGGAGGGGAACAGCTATGTAAGGCTGAAGAGCGCGCTCGCAGTTGGTTGGTCGTTGGACCCTGAAACGTGCGTCGAAGCCGGCGCAGCGCCTCAAGAGGGCCATGCCTCTCGGCTTCGTCGAATGGCCGAGGTCCCTTTTGCAGAAGCTCTCTAGTAATCTGCGAAGGCGGCCCTCTGTCTCTGTCTCTCTCTCCTCTCTCATTCTCTAGCCTTCTCGCAACCATCTTTCGACGTCCAGACAGGCACGCTCAGAATCACCGCGCCGTTGGAACTTTAACGTGAGGGGACGGGCACAAAGCCTGCACGGGTACCGTTTTTTTTTGCGGGGGCTGAGAGGCAGCACAGACCGTACTCTCGCGCTCGTCACATGGAGAAGGAGAGGTGTGGCCGCGCCATCAAGTCGTGCTGATGAAGCTCAGCTAGTCGGACGTTATTGCGGTCTCGTGATTGGGCTCTCACGCTATTGTTTGCTGCTGGACTTGACATCTTCTCACGCCGTTGCGTACTGCGGGCGGCGGTTGGGAAAGGGGGCCATTGGATCAGCGTCTGACAACCGACTGAACCGGCAGCGGCGGCGGCGTCGGTGGCTCACCTTCTTCGTGTGCTCTTGTGCCGTCTTGTTGAACTTGGCCCTGTCGTTGTTGTAGACCTCGGCTGGGAGTGTGCACGGAGCGGGAAGGGTGATCCGGAGAGGTCAGCGCCCTGACTTGCCATTGGCAATGGCCTTCCGTTTCTGCGGGGCATCGCACTCACCAATCGACGCCACCAGGGCATCGTCAGGGTTGGGCTCTTCCAGGAGCTGCAGGATAGACAGAAGGACTGCAACGAGAGACGGGCGAGGGCCGCGCAGCTGTCAGCGACTAGCGCTGTGACTCTCCCCTTTCTGATGGCGGCGGCGGCGGCTCACTGGTAGACGCCTTGGTCGAGGGCTTCCATGCCTCGGACTTCAGGATGCCGACGCAGAGGTCTGAGAGGAAAGAGAAAGAGGGCAAGGGCATGGTGTAGGAGCAGACGCACGTCAGCAAGAGGCAGCGCTCAGACTGCAGCGCGTCGCAAAGGCCAGGGCAGCGCCGCCCGCACTCACTTCCGCCCTCGTCGACGTTTGGGTGGTAGATGCGGGTAGCAAAACGGACCTTGGGGCCCTTGAAGGGGTACTCGATGGGGAAGTCGACGTCGACGAGGAAGGTGCCGCCTGCGTACGGGCTGCTGGCCGGGCCCTCGAGCTTGGCCGTCCACTTGTAGATGTTGTCTCTGCGGGCAGAGGGGGGATGGAGCGGAAGGACGGGGCGTGGCGGCAGCGAGGTCAGCTGGGGTTGCCGCGGGCGTTGCCGCGTAGTTTGAGGGGTGGTGGGTAGGACACCCACTCCTTTGCCTCGATGGCTGATGGAGGGAGAGGAGGGGGCAGCAGAGAAGCCAGAGGATACGGAGGGAAGGAGAAACGCTGGTCAGAGAGAGGGGTTGCGCCAGCTGCTGCGGAGCGTTGCCGGCCAGGGACGGTGCTCACTGATGCCAGGGACTGGCTCGTTGCTGAGCTCGGTGAGCTCCTGATGATGGTGCGAGAGTCAAGGCGGTCAAAGAGGTTGGTTTGGGTCAGAGGAGGTGTGCCATTGGCGGCGAGGCGGCTACGAGTGGTGGGAGTCGCCCGTGATGCGCACCTTTGTGATTCGCTTCTTGCTGGCCATGGTGGAAGCGTGGAGGGTGTGTCGAGGTTGGCGTGGAGCGAAAGAGAGGATGTGTATGGGAGAGTGGCGCGCTTGGGTATGGATGTGTTGGTCGTTGCTGAAGGTGCGGTGCAAAGCCGATGGTGAGCCTGGGTGGAGAGAAGGGTGGATCAAGCGCAAGGTGTTGGGAGGTGTTGCGCGGCGGGGCCAGCAGAGGTGCAGAAGGTGTTGGGTCGGGAAGCGCGGGCGGGGCAAGGCAGGCAGGCAGGCAGGCAGGCAGGCAGGCAGGCGGCCAGAGGCAGGCATGATGAGCGGCGGCACTAAAGACTGGGAGCGAGGGGCCGCTGCCCTCGTCTGACCCGGGCTTGGCCTAGCTGCCCCCCCCCCCCCCCTGCCAAGTTGACTTGCAGGCGCCCCCTGGCTTGGGTGCAGCCAGCCTGTCCTGAGCTGCGCTGCCCTGCTGCCTGCATTTTGCCTCTCTGCTCGATCACGGCGCCTGCTGGCCTCGGCCTCTCTACTGGCTGGCAGCCAGCAGCAGTCGGTGATGCAGCCGTGCAGCCAGACCCCTCCACATCGTCAAGCTTGCTGCACGTACGGCGCCAGGCACCAACACATACACGTCGACCCACGGGCCATGCCACGCCAGGCCTGCCCTGGACTCACCTGGCCTCACCTGCCACGCCGGGCTTCTTGGCAGGGCAGGGCTAGGCCCCCGTCGCCGCTGCTCGCTCTATCTTGGCGTGGCTGTGTATGTGGGCCAAAGGCGGTAACGTGGCTCATCAACGTCCCTTGCCGCCTCTTCTCTGCTCCTCCTGGCTCAGCTGGCTATTTTGGGAGGCGCTCGAGTACACCCGCCCTTCCCAAAGGCCATCGCCATCGCCATCGCCACCGCACCTCGCCACTGAATTACCACCACCACCACTAGCCATACATCCCTCCCCCTCTGCATCTCCATCAACCCAACAGCCACCTACCATGACCAGCACACCCCCTACCAATGCTGCCGGCGCCGGCTCCCAGGGCGTCGAGATCCTCAAGATCGACAATGTCCGCGCATCGCAGTCCTACGACGGCGAAGATGTCACCCTGGGCCTCGGCACCCTCCGCGCCCTCCTCGTCGCCATCGAGCTCCAGGGATCCAGCACCCAGGACCACTCGGCCGCCGCACCCACCGACCCCGAAAAGCTCGACCAGCACCGCAACCTCTCCACCGACCTTTGGCTCGTCCTCGCCATCGGCGACTCGTTCAGCCTCCCCATCCCGGCGTTCCAGTCCATCCGCCCAGAGCGATCCGGCAACACCAGCTCGTACGTCATGCCCTCGCACGACGTAGAGGGCGCATCGATCCGCTTCTCGCTCCCCGCACAGGCCACAAAGCAAGAGACCAAGCGCCTCGAGGAGATCCTCGCTCAGTACTCGGCCTACCAGGACGACGACGCCACCGACAGCGGCACCATCGAGCTCATGGACGACCAGGGACATGTCCTCGCCGTCGTCAAGGACCAGTTCCAGGTCGAGGAGGACGACGCCCTCTCCGAGTCCGGCCGCGAAAAGGACCCCGTCCTCATCGACCTCGCCCCCGAGCCGGCCGCCGCCGCCGCCGCCTCTACCGGCAAGGACACGGCCCACGTCTCCATCGCCCCCCAGGACCGCGAAAAGGGAGACTGGCTGCTCAAGGGCGCCGACTTTATCTCGCGCAACATTGTCAAGGGCTCCGAGTTCATCGGATCCAAGATCACCAACGCCGCCGACAACTATGGTAAGTGGGGCGGCCCATTTAGCCTGCCCTTGGGCGTGCAGCCGAGCACTGAATTGACCCGCCCCGTCCCGCCCCGTCCCGCCCCGCCCCGCTCCGTCCCGATCTCCCTTCTGCAGTCGCCAAGAACCCCGGGCCTGGATCGAGCATCACCTCGCCGACGGACGAGAAGGGCACCTCGAGTGGCGCGCAGACGCCCACCAGCCAGCGCAACATCAAGGTGCCCAGCGCTGCCCAGTCGGGCGCCGCGACGCTGTACAACTGGTCCGGCCAGGCCGTGCAGGTCTCTGCCAAGACGACGGGCAAGATCACGGACATGGCGGCCAACATTGGCGACAAGATTGGCAAAAAGACGGGCATCCAGCGACAGGTCAAGGCCGACGGCACCCTGGGCCCGCAGCCCAAGGGCATCCGCGGCTTCGTCAACCGCTCGCTGCTGGCCACCAACAGCGTGCTCGACGGCGTGGACGCGGGTGTGCAGAACCTCCTCTACTCGAGCTCGGGCGCCGCGTCGCAGGTGGTGGCGCACAAGTACGGCGAGGACGCGCGCAAGCTCAGCGAAAACATTGCGCGCTCCGGCGGCAACGTGTGGATCGTCTACAAGGACGTGCGCAACGTGCGCAGGAGCGCCCTCCTCAAGGCCGCACGCGGACGCATGCTCAAGGCCCAGACGCCCGACGGCGCACAGGTCACGATCCGCGTCGACAAGGACGGTCACGCCACCGTCGAACCCGACAATGAAAAGTCGGCGGCAGCAGCGCCGACGTCGACTTCGACTGCACCTGCACCAGCATCAGCTTCGGCAGGAGCGGCGCCGTCGGAGAAGACCAAGTCGTAGCGTCAACCGTGCCGTGCCAGACTGATTATCGTATGTAGACCCCTAGCCCGTTCCGGATCGCTGTCTTGGCTTGCAGATACCGCCCCTGTCCTGCCGTCACAGGGCCAAAAAGGAAAACACGATGCTACGAGGACAGGATTCACGATTCCTTTCGTCTTGAACGTGCCTTCTTTGTCCTGCGCAGTCTACAGTGATGTGGGTGTGGGGTGGCTGGGGAGGGTGCCGTTCGCTGCTGAACCAAGGTAGGGAAGTCAAAGCAACGAGAAGACAGAACCGCTGCTGCTGCGACTGCAGGAGCGGCCAGAGGGGGAGAGGGAGGGGAGGAGGGTGTTCGCTCAGAAGCAGAAGACTTGCTGTAGACCGCGGACCAGGGCAGGAAAGGAGCGAGAGGAAGGGAGGAAAGGCAGGCATCAGAAACAGTTCGGCGGGACGAGCAGCAGGTGCTGGGACTTACGTCCTCCATCTTGCTGACGGTGCGGGGAGCCTGGTAGTTGAGCTCCGAGAGGTGCTTCTTCATGGCGTTGATCATCGGCGGCGGGCCTGCAATCATCGGCAGCAGGTGGACGGGACAAGAAAGAAGGGAGAGGGAGGGCCAGGGAAAAGCGGGGTCAGGGTATGGCTCGTCGACGGCAGAGCGAGCGGGGCGCACATCGCGGCACGGGCACTCACCGCACATGAGGATCTTGATGTCGTCGGCGGGCTTGGGGAGGTTCTGCTCGATGGCCTCCTTGGAGACGAAGCCGGTGCCGCCGGTCCAGTTGGGGGGCGCCTCGTTGAGGAAGTAGTGGATGCGGAACTGGTCCTTGTGCTCGCGGGCGAGGCGGTCGAGGTCCTCCTTGAGCAGGATGTCGTCCTCCTTGACGTTGGCGTAGATAAAGTCGACCTGGGTCTTGTCGGCCGGGTTCTTGCAGATGGCCGTGATGATCTGGAGGCAGGGCGTGAGGCCGGTGCCGCCGGCAATCATGCCGAGGTGGCGGGCGAGGCCGGGCGAGTAGCGCATCTGGCCCTTGGGGCCCTTGACCGAGAGGACGTCGCCGATCTTCATGGCGGCCATGTACTTGGAGACGTTGCCCTGCTCGTACGACTTGACGACGAGGTCAAAGAAGCCCTTGTCGTCGTCGGACGAGGTGGGCGTGTAGGAGCGCATGACGGTCTTGCCGTTGATGTCGGCCTGGACCGAAATGTGCTGCCCGATGGGCAGGCCGAGGATCGAGTTCTGCTTGGGCAGGCGGAAGCGGTACTTGGCCGTGTTGGACGAGAGCTGCTTCTTTTCCATCAGGTGGAACTTCTGCCACTCAGTCGGGTTGAGCACGGGCTTGGCCTTGCCCGAGTCAAAGTAGAGCAGCGCGCCCACCGACAGGACGAGCCCGACGAGAAAAGCGACTACGACGTTGATCTCCATGAAGTCGGTGGCCCTGTCGAGGTCTTGGAGGAGTTCAAAGTGGGGAAAGACGGAGCGGGCGAGGTAGCTCTTGGCGACGAGGCAGAGGCAGAAGGTGACGAGGATGGATGCGACGAAGGCGAATTGCTCGGGCAGGACCATCCAGGTGGCAAGAGGGGCGGAATGCGAGTAGGTGGCGGTGAGATGGCAAGGAGGCGGCGGAGGGGACGGAGAGGAGGGAGAGGATGGAGTGAAGAGGTCGTGCGGGGAAGCCACAGGCTGGCAGGCGGGCGGGCGGAAGAAGAGGAAGACGACTGGCCGCCTGTGCGTAGCCTGGCCTGATCCAGCTGTTGCCCTGCCTGTCGTCGTCGTTGTCGTCGTGGCACAAACGAAGGCAGGCAGCCACGCTGGCCCCGCCCGCGGCGGCTTGTGCGGTGTTGGGGCTGAGCTGGAGCCTAGCCAGCCCAGGCCTGATTTTCTTGAAATCTCGCTCGCTTCCAAAAGGCCCGTCGATGAGCTCAGATGGGACAGCCCTGCCCAGCCAGACAGAGCCTCTGTCGGTGGCCTCACACGTGAAATCGTCTTTCTCTTGCTCTCGATCCGCCCCGCCCCTTCTGGCATCAGCCACCTCGAGCCCAGGATCCGAGCTGCCGTCATCAGCAGATCCATCAGGGCTGAGCCGCTCGCGCTGCCGATAGGCTTGACGTCGTCAAAGGGGCCAAAGAGGCACTCGTGGCTGGACCGAGGAATCTCTGTCGGTGCGCGCCGCCAGACCTCAAACAGCCTGTGCCCACCCCCGGATGCCCGGTCCGGTCTCGGTGGCCGATGAACCCGATTTCGATCGGGCTAGTGGCTTCGGAGCCGAACGAAGCCTTGTCTGAGCCACGTCGCGCAACCCTGGCGCAAAGAGGAAAAAGCTGGACAGCCTGCCTGGCAACGCGCGTGGTCGAGCTGGCTGACCTGCGCACGGAGCCTGCAGGCCTATCCTGCCATGCCTGGCGTGGCAGGCCTGGCCTGGCCAGGCAGACCTGGGCCAGCTTGCCTGCCCTCCCAGCCTGGAACGCGTCGACGCGAGAAGCAGGCGGCCGGCCTGGCCTGGCCTCTTTGGCTGGCTGCGCAAGAAGCCTGGCGGGCCCATGCCACGCCTGCCGCTGGTGTGGAGAGAGGGTCAGAGGGCCTACCGGCCATGCTTTCGACACTCGACGCCACCACCCGCCTCCGCCTCGACCCTTGGCAATCTGCACTCTGGCCCGGACCACGCCATCGCATCTCCACCGCTCGCATCGACAGGTCCGCCCACGCTGTTCTCCGCGTCGTCCCCCGCAATTCTACCATCGCAGCTGCCCACGCGCCTGGGCCATCTCACTCAGCCTCGGCGGAAACCACTTGGCCCGGAATCACGGCTCGCATCTCTAGGCGGACTCGAGGACCGCGCTACCTCCCTGCCACCAACTTCAATTGCATCTGACCGCCGAATCGAGCGACAGCAGATATGGCCGGGCGCGCTGCGGCAAAGCGAAAGGCTGCGGATGGCGAGGCGTCGTCGGAGGGCGCCAGCAAGCACGCCAAGCTCGCCGAATCTGCCAACGACTTTGACAGCGACGGATCTCTGACCGATCTCTCGGACGAGGAAGAGGCGCCACAGGATGAACAGAGCGAGGAGGAGGTGGAGGACGAGGAAGAGGACGAGGAGGAGGAACCGAGCAGCGACGATGACGCTGGCGCCCACGACGACGACAACGACGACGACTATGGCGGCTCGAAGCGCAAGAAGACCGCAAAGACACCCACAAAAGGCCGCAGGGGCGCCGGTGCCGCGGCCGCGGCCGCGAGGACGCCAAAGCAGCGCGCCGCCCCAAAGACGCCCAGGACCAAGGCGGCGGGCGCGTCCAAGACGGCAAAGGCGAGCGCATCAAAGACACGGTCCGTGGGACGGCCGCGCGCCACGTCGACCAAGACCAGGGGTGCCGGCAGCAAGGACGAGCTGCCGATTAACGACGACAACGACATCTTCAACGCCGTCAAGGACCCCAACAGCGCGCTGCAGTCGACCGCCGAGGACTGGGTGGTCAGCTTCCAGAACGACGAGGGCAAGGCGCTGGCAGAGCTGACCAACTTTGTCATCCGGACGTGCGGCTGCAACGGCAGCGTCGACGAGAACCAGGTGGTCGACATCGACAACATCGTCGACACCCTCGAAGAGCTGCAGGAGGTCTTCAAGAAGCAGCCTCTGCCGTCGTACCCGATCGTCTCGAAGAGCAAGACGTTCAAGTCGTTCCGCCGGTCGCTCAGCGAGTTTCTCCGCCGCCTTGTCCTCTGCGCTTACGAGGCCGAGATCCTGACGGCCGAGGGCTTCATGGAGACGTTCCAGGCGTGGGTCTCGGCCATGTCGTCGTCGTCGCTCCGCTCGTTCCGCCACACGGCCACCGTCGTCGCGCTGTGGACGATCTCGGCCATCAACGAGGTCAACGCGCTCGCCGCCAAGGACCTGGCCACCGCCACCAAGCAGCGCGACGCCGAGCGGAAAAAGGCGCGGGCGGACAAGAGCCGGCTCAAGGAGCTCGAGGCCAAGGTCGAGGAGGCCAAGGCGCTGCGCAAGAAGCTCGACGAGTACATCGACGAGTACATGACCAGCGTCTTTGTCCACCGCTACCGCGACTACGACGCCGGCATCCGCACCGAATGCGTCGAAGAGCTCGGCGCGTGGATGAAGAAGCACTCGGCGCAGTACCTCCAAGCGAGCTACTTCCGCTACGTCGGCTGGGTCCTCTCGGACGCCGACGCCGGCGTGCGCATGGCGGCGATCCGCGCCATGACGGGGCTCTACACCCGCGAAAACTTTGTCGGGTCGATCCGCCACTTTACCGAGATGTTCAAGGGGCGCCTCGTCCAGATGGCGACCGGTGACGTCGACCTCTCGGTCCGCATCGCCGCCATCCTGGTGCTCGTCATGATCGACAAGCACGACCTGCTCGACGAGGAGCAGCGCGACTCGCTGGCCACGCACATCTTTGACGTCGAGCCAAAGGTGCGCGCCGCCGTGGCGACATTCGTGGCGAGCATCCTCGAGGACGAGGTGCGCCAGCACACGGCCGAGCTCGGCGGGCAGAGTGCCAAGTCGAAGAAGAAGGCCAACTCGGACGAGGCGCAGGCGGCCGAGGTGGCCAAGCTGCGCCTCAAGTGCCTCGCCTCGCTGCTGGTCAAGTACGGGCGGCGGCTCGACGACGTCGACCCTTCGACGACGACGAGCGAGGCGGTCGACACCAACTCGCAGGACATCTCGAGCGCGGCGGCCCAGAAGCAGGCCGAGGACCTCAAGACGATGATCGACGGCGCCAAGGAAGGCCGCGTGGGCATGGCCATCGAGGCGCTCTGGGACGCCGTCGACGAGATCCAGGACTGGCAGCCGCTCATCGACCTGCTGCTCCTCGACCACTCGGACAAGGACGGGTCGAGCGGCACCAAGGGTGCCCAGGAGCTTGCCCCGGAGGCCTACCGGCTCGACGTCGACGAGGAGGCGGTGCTGGTCGAGGCGCTGGTCAGCATCCTCCGCAAGACGCACCAGCACATTGCCGTGGTCAAGGACGACGAGGACACCACCAAGGAGGACATGACGCGGGCCGTGATGCCGACGCTGCCCAAGCTGCTGGCAAAGTATCGCACCGACGCGCCGCGGATCGCCGACCTCCTCGTCATCCCGCAGATCATCGACCTGGAGATGTACACCGAGATGCGCGAGACCAACGCCTACGAAGCGCTCTGGGACGACGTCTCGGCGCAGCTGCAGCGCCACGTCGAGCCGCTGCTGCTCAAGCACGCCGTCCAGGCGATCCGCAAGCTGATGGCGTGCACCTCGCTCTCCAACGTCAACGCGGCCAAGCTGACGGCGCTGCAAGAGTCGCTGCTGTCGGCGCTGCAGGAGACGGCGCAGAATCGTGACGTCGAGACCGCCGTCTTCGGCGAAGACGACGTGCACCTCCTCGGCGCCAGCATCCTGCGGATGAACGTGCTCAGCCAGGTCTGCGACATGACCGAGGTGCTCGAGGACGACGAGCGCGGCCAGTCGACGAGCGGCTGGGAGATCATCCTCGGCCTGGCCGGCAGAGGCCGCCTCGGCTACCGCGAGGAGGAAAAGATGGTGCAGGATGCCATCCAGGTGCTGACTCTCCACATCATGTGGAAGACGCGGCTGAGCCTCTCGCACGATGCGGCGAGCCAGGGGCCGGCGATCGACGCGCTGCTGTCGAAGCGGACCATCCTGCTCGACCTGCTCAACGAGTACGTGGCGGGCACGCACTCCAATGCCTGCGCTGGTGTGCAGAGGGTGGTAAGTGTCGCCGTCGATGCAGAAGTGGCCGATTATGCGTCGGTGCCTCGTGCTGACCCGCCATGTCCCCTGACCAATCCATCCCCGCGACAGGCATTCGAGCGACTGCTGACCATCCACATGATGTACGCGGCGCTTCCCATCGGGCACGACGAGAGCGGAGCGAGCGGCGAAGCGCCCCCGGAAACGTCGGCGCCGCCAGGCGGTCCCCGACTCCCGCCTGCGCTGCGACTCACCTGCGGCGACGAGATCCAGTACCGATGCGCCGGCTTCATCCAAGCAGAGATCGAGCGATACATCGAGAGCGCTGGCATCCGGGACAGGGAAGCTCGGAACGGCAAACAGAACGGCGGCGGCGACACCATCGACAGCGACGAGGAGGCCCGCGCCAGCGGCGACGACCGCGACGGTGACGACGGCGACGACGACGAAGATGCCGACCGCACGCCCCGCGCGTCGTCCAAAGCCCCGGCGCGCGGCAGCCGGGCCACTAGCAGAAAGGCGCGCAAGGCCGACCGCCAGGCGAGGGATGGCGAATCGGCATCGGAGCGACCATCGCGCTCGCTGCTCGAGGCCGAGCACTCATTCTGTTCGACCATCAGCACATTTGTCTCGGCCATCCGCGTCGGCGTCGTCGATGCCAGGCATTCGGCCAGCGTGCTGGTCCAGTTTGGCAGGCTCGGCGGCATCTACGACTCTTGCTGCAAGGTGCTGATCGACGTGCTCAAGGAGGAGGCCATCTTTGTCGGCTACGAGCGCGCCGTCGTCATTGAGAACACCGTCTGGGATGCCCTTAGGGAGGTGAGTCGGGGGGCTTTGGGCGGACTCCTCGTGCCGCGAAAGCGTCGCCTTCCGCTTGCTCACCACGCATCTCGTTCTCGCCCTCGCTGCCACGGTTTGTCCAGTCCTTTGAGCTCTTCCTCGACGGCGGCGACGATGCGGCCGAGTCGAGGTTCGTTTCGCTGTCGCGCCAAGTCGCCAATGTGCTGGTCGTGCGCGGCGGAGGCTTCACGGCGCTCAAGACAATCGACCCGCGCTGCCTAGTCTCGCTCCACAAGCGCGCCAGCGAATACGTGGCGCAAAAGGTGGCGGCGGCCGAGCGCAGCGGCAACAAGGGGCTCAAGACGCGGCTGCCGGCCCTCTACAAGGGTGCGGCCAACCTGCTGATGAACGCCACGCCGACCGATGCCGTCAAGATCAAGACGGCCATGGACCGTGCCTATCGTGCGGCCGACGTCGATATCCCTCCCGCCGCCAAGGCGTGGGAGCCGCAAAGGTCGTACGAGCGTCGGCTGCTCAAGATCGCGGCCAAGAGCACCATGTTCGCCAAGGCCAATGGCTCGCAGCGGCAGTCGGCAGGCAAGGCGGCGTCCGGCAAGGCGGCAGCGACTGGCGGCGGCGTCGACAGCGGGAGCGACCTGACCGACGCCGAGGGGGAAGGCGACGAAGCGGCCGGTGGTGCCGACCTGGCCGACCGGGGTTCTCCGATGCCCACCGGCAGCAAGCGGCCGCGCCGAGCTTCGTCGACGAACGGGCACGCGGCGCGCGGTTCAGCGTCTGCCTCTGCGTCGCCTGCTCCCTCCCCCGGCGAGGGCGACGGGGACGAAGAAGACGAGCCCCTGTCCGAAGAGGACGGTGCCTCGGATGCAGACTCGCTCGGACGCGTGGCTGGCCGCGTCAAGCGGCGAAAGGTGAGCCCGGACAATGTCGTCGTCGGGGCGGCCAATAGACGCCGAGATTGCACGGCACCGGAGGCTTTGACGTACAGCGACTGACTGGCTCTGCTTGCTTCCACCACCCATCCACCCCTGTGTTGTCGTCGCGTTGACTGGCGACCAGATCTAGCCAGGTAGCTGACGCTGCAGCAGCCCCTGAGACGAGCGAGATGGTCGCGGCCCAAACCCTGCCTGCCGGATCTACGTGCGCTCGCGCCAACAATCATGCCGTCTCGCCGTTACATACATACGTACCTACCTCGGTCGGCGACAGCCGTGACCTGGCCTGGTGATTATTTGATGACTGCATGCCCACCTACGACCACCCCAGCCCCCTTTTGGAGTTGCATCTGATGGTACCTACGGCAAAGTTCCACGCGATACGGCACGGTCGGCGCCATCCACCGGTATCTCAGCTCCGCACAACAATCCTTATTGATGGCAGCCGGGCGTGCCGACGAGCCTCGCTGGCGGTCGGTACCGGGTCGACGACGATCCACGCCGTTGGATGGCTGAGCCGTCTTTGCACCCTGGCCTGCTGCTCTGGTGTCGTTGTTGCCCCCTGGCCTGGCCACTCGCCGGCGGCAAGCTTGTCGCTCTTTGTACGCTTGGCGGTGATGCTCTCCTGCCCTCTTGTTTTGCTTTGAGCCCTTTCCCTGTCTGTCTGTCTGTCTGCCTGCAATGTAACCTGTGTCCTCGTCGAGCGCATTCGCTGTCGTGTGCTCATGGCGTTGACAGCGACGCTGCCCTTCTGTTCTGGCCCGGCGAGCTCGCTGTATCTACGGGTCCAAGGACGATCTCGGGTTGTTGGTGTCGCTCGAGCCAGCTTCGTCGATGATGATCTCGACCGTATTTACGGGTCGGCCGTGTCAGGTGGCAAGCAAGCAAACACACACACCGGTGCGGAGATGGCAAGTCGGCGGAGTCGAGAGCGGGCGCAACGTCGGAAACGGTGCGGTGCGGTGCGGTGCGGCGACTCAGCTCGACTCCGGTCGGGACGGGACGGAGTGCGATTGCGCCAGGGCACGCACGGAAAAAGGCTGGCTGGCTGGCTGGCTGGCTGGCAGGCTTGTGGGCGGGGTGTCGGTCGGTCGGGCGGGAACGGCCGGTGAGGCAGGCCTGCAGGCCAGGCCGGTACGGTGCGGCGTACGTGCCCCAGCGAGCCAGCCAGAGTCTAGACCCTCGAGGCTGCACAGCCAGGCCTGGCCTGCCTGTGGCAGGCAGCAGGCTAACAGCTACGTTAGGCTAGGGGGGAAAAAACAGAGCTGATCAGCTGAATTCGAGCAGGCATGCCGCGGCCGCACGCACGCAAAGCCGGGGTGGTGCGCCACTTGGTTTTCCCTCGATCGACTGTCTGGCCTCGACGTGCCTGCCTGCCTGCCTGCTGCTGCTGCTGCCCACGCCCAGCAACCGTGCGTGCATCCGGCAACCGCCCGCCGCCGACTCAGCCTCGGGCGTGTGAGATGGCCATCTGGATCGCGATCCTGCCCTGCCCTGCCGATTTCACCGCCAGCTGGGCCAGCCACCGCCAACAGCAAGCAAGCAGCAGCAGCAACACGAACGCATCTGCTTGTGATGTGTGCCTGCCTTGCGTTGACCGTCGTTCGGAATCGACGAGATACGCACGCACGCACGCACCACCGAGGTCGGAGGCCAAGCGAAGCCAAGCGCTACGCTAGCAATCACGAGGTGCCGAGGCGCGTGGGACCCGGCCGCCTGGAAAGCTCGCTGCTGGGCTCATCACCAAAGAGATCCATAGCGCTCGTAGCCCTGTCGACGACGTCGCACTCTCGATCTAACTGCTGGCCCGCCAGGCCTCTCCTGCGACATCGATTCAAGGTTGGCGGTGCTTCTGCGCATCAGAGGCTATAGGCCGGCCTAGAGTATGTGCTTGCCGTGCCCATACGGCCGGAAGAATACGCCATGTCAACGGGGAGCCTGGTCCAGGGGGCGCAAGCTTGCTTGCAGACCCCGGCGCACGGCCAACCCAAGCAGCGCAAGCAAGCAGGCCACTACTGTACCTGGTCTGCTCACGACGACGCCAGCAGGCCAGGCGGGTTGTCAGAGGAGCGCCACAGCCGCCTGCCATCATGGATGTATGAACCGCAGTAGTGGTCCCACCAGGCATGGCGTACGGCGGCCACCCACCCACCCACCCTTGGCCGCCGCGGAAGCGCAGCTGGTTTGCCGTCTGTTGTTCCTCGCCGCCATGGCCAGCATGCTCTAGGCCATGGCGCCCATGTGGCGGCTTCACTGCAGCCTGGCCATTCCAAGGGCCGTCGATGGGCTGAGCGGAGACAAGGACCGAGGACGAGGACGAGGACGAGGACGGGGGTCGAGGGGGAAATTCGGGACAGAGGTGCGTTCCTGGCTGGCCACACGCCCGGCTACTTTGAGGCTCCCTCACCCTCGCTCCCCTTCTCCCTCTCTCTCTCTCCC